AATATAATTGCGTCAGCACTCAGCCAGCTTCCACAGAAGGTCAGTCTCCTAGCTGTAAGTCACACACACAGATTTCTGTGAAGGAGAATACTTTGTTCCAGAAATCTGTCCATTTTACCTTCCAATAAACAACTGATTTACTGATTTATTGAACTGTTTACTGATTTACAAAAGATGCTTATATTTCATTATTTTCATTTAATTGAACTGTGTCTAAAATTTTCTTATCCCAATAACTTTTAATATTTGGAGCTTGAAAATTTAAAACATGTGCATTTTCAATTGATTTTATGTAACTTCTTCCTTTCTGAAAATTCCCACACTACTGAGGAAGGGATTGCAAATACTTTTTGTTATGGTAGAAGACAGAAGAAATACAGTAAGCATCTATTAAATTTTGGTTATGCAGCATAAATGTTTTAAATGGCAAGTGCAATTCAAAACAAAAATTATTAGTAAAATGAGTTCACTTATTTTATTGTCATAAAAAAGAATGGCATGCAATTTTATTTGTTTATTGCATTTAAATTATCTTGTAATCCCTTGGAGTTTCAGCAATTTCACAAGGATGAAAAAAGTAAAAGATCAACGACACAATTCAATCCCCAAACCCAAACAAACTAGAAAATCTGAAATTCATGGGCCAAGAAAAATTATAACATGGTTTGTAATTTGGACTACATAGAATAGCATTCCAATTATTTTTACCCTAGGTTATTTGGCGGTATAAAGGGAAAAAGCTAGAAATGCTTGGAGCCAATACCAGGATCTATGATTGGATACCACAAAATGATCTTCTTGGTGAGACACCTTATGTTCCTTTAGACAGAATTAAACAATCAGTATGTTCATATCCAAAAAGATTTTGTCAAAACATTTTCATCTTTCTATTCCAGGCCACCCAAAGACCAAAGCTTTTATAACACATGGTGGAACAAATGGAATTTATGAAGCCATTTACCATGCGATTCCCATAGTAGGGATTCCCTTATTTGGAGATCAGACTGATAATATTATCCATATGAAGGCAAAGGGAATGGCTGTGGAACTGGACATTCACACAATGAAAACTGAAGATTTAGTAAATGCTGTGAATACTGTCATTCATAATGCTCTGTGAGTTGTTTGTAAACTCTTCTGAAACTGAGATACAGATTATATCTAAGATATTCATAGTAAATGGATTTTTTTCTTTGATGTCATGATCATTTTTGCAAAAATAGTAATTCTGGTTACTTTACCATTTATGATATTTTATCTCAATTAGGCCTAATTTTTGTATATCTATAAAGAGATAACAGTAGAATGTGTACTTTGGGCATTTTATTGGATTGGATTCTCTTCCAATTGTCTGTGCTACCTAGGACTATATGGAATTTGGAGCATCATACTTTCTCTAATATAGGAACATTTGTGCTTTCTTCAGTATACCTAATTTCATTGTTCAGAAAAGGATCTTGAAATTCTAGCCAACTTTTTGATATTTTTTATAAATGAAAATAAATAGAAAGCAATGCAAGTGTCATTGAAGATAACAAAATAGTATTTTAATGGAGTATAAACTAGCTAGCTGTTGGTTATAATAGTAATAGAACTGATTTTGGGTAAGAAACTACAACAGGCACTAAGCTACTTTGAGTTTCGATAAATAGGTAAATTGTTCTATGTAAAGTCCATAAGTATTTGAAGACTGCAGTTCTTAAATACAATAGAAAGCTGATTTCTGGGTCTTTCCTAATTTGTTCTTATTCTTTTTTTCTTGTTCTTTCATCTTCCAGTTTTAAGAAAAATGCGCTAAGAATATCAGAGATCCATCATCATCAACCAATAAAACCACTAGACCGGGCTATCTTTTGGATTGAATTTGTTATGCGTCACAAAGGTGCCAAGCATTTGCAAGTAGCTGCCTGTCACTTGACTTGGTATCAGTATCACTCTCTGGATGTCATTGCCTTCTTGATTGGCTACTCAGTAGTTTTTGGATTCATTGCTTTTAAATGCTGCTCTTATTGCTTTTGGAAATGTGGCAACATTTTACAAAAATCAAAAACAGATTAATTCTTCTGGGACTCAGTCTCCTAAACCTGATTAACATAGTTTATGTTCATTATTAATATACTAAGATTTATTTTAATTGTTTTCATATAATTAGATTCCATTCATAACATTAAATTTTATTTCTATGTCTAAATGGTTAACAAATTTAGTTTTGATTTAGTTAAGAAATTTTTGAAGTAGAAATTGAGCTATAATGAAAGATGTCTATGGAGATTCTCAGTCATCCAGGTCATAGTTGTCCCAAAGGTGCTTTTTCACGAGACAAATGGATTTTCTTATTTTTCTTTGAAGATGTTGTTTATTAATGAATGAAGCAACGTTGACAAAGGCCACTCTTTCAAAGACAGCAGTCCACATTTCGGACAGAGAGAACCACTGGTTTGAAAGAGGGGTCAAAGAGGCTATCTATGCAAAATTGAACAGCCCTCTCTCAACTGAGGGGGATACGACATTATCTATCTCTAGTCTACAACACAGTCCTTTCAGCAGTTCCAAAAAGGGTCTACACCCATTTGCTCTACTCAGGTGACTCTGAGGACCCAGATGGCCTCAACGACTCTCTAAAACAGTGTTTCCCAAACTTGACAATTTTAAGGCATGTGGACTTCAACTCCCAGAATTCCACAGCCAGCGTTGCTGGCTGTGGAAATCTGGGAGTTGAAGTCCTCATGCCTTAAAATTGTCAAGTTTGGGAAACACTGCTCTAAAAGAATGCAAATGAACAGCTATTTGCAAGGAGCATAAATCCTTCCATTTCCTACCATCCATTCAGAGCTGAAGAAGCAAAATGTCTTCAAGAAAAACAAGAAAGTTCAGTTGCCTCATAAAAAAGCGCCTTTGGGACAGCTATAAGGAGAAATGATTTTTTTTTTTTGCAAATAGTAGCTTCTCTATAATTCTCCAAATCAAATTGTTACTTTATGTAGAAATGCATATGTAGTATTTTTTCCCTACAGAATGCCAATCACTTGTTTAAAAAATATTCATGGAAGTATCTAATATATAAGAGAGAGAGAATTAGATAAGATTAAGTGATATACTTATCTTCAGCTGTCACCCATAACAAGCATGAGGAAAAGTCAAATTAAAACACTAATTTATCTAAAACTTTTAGTTCTGTATTGTATTGTAGCTTTTCAGATGGATATATCTTTGCTACTGTATTAAGAGTAACAAATAAGAGTTAACAAGTATTCAAATGTTGCTGCTTTCACAATATAATTTTTATAACTTCTATCAGAAAATACTTGATCTTAGGCAAAGCCTCTAAATGTCTCTGAGAGTCTTCACTGCAATTCACTGCCTGTCTTGTGCAATATGGCTTTACCAGCTGTAAAACAGTTAGAGGGAAAATTCCAAGAGATTTCTGTTTTCTCAAGATTAAAAATACAAAAAAATGGATTATGTATCTATCATGGTTGCTGTCCCCCAAGCCAAGTTTTGCAAAGCCTACAGCCTGACATTAGCAACTGGAGAGGGAAGAGGGTTGGAATACAAGAAGATTGTGGGGAGGGGAAGGGAAACTAAGCATTCTGGTCAAGGAATGAGAAGCAGGCACCTGCTAGCCAAGGTTACCCATCAATATATCAGCCCTTAATTGGATGTTTGGTGGTAACAGGAGATAGCCAGGGAAAAGGGAATGTTAATTGCTTTGACTGCACACAAAAATACCAGAACCAGGTTTGCTAAACTTCTGTAACCATTTAAGTTCCAGTGAAGTATACTCTTGATAAAACAATGGTTCAGAAGTCTTTGTTTGCTGGATGAATGAATGGTATGGTTGACAGCAATTGTTTTCTTACAATTGTGAATAAAATGTTTAAGATAAGATACTCATATACAAAATCTTTTGTCTCCTGCAACCAACTGGCTTGTTTGACTGTAATAAATTTACAATAACTCTCATAAAATTATCTTTCTTTTCTATGCAGAGGAAAACTAGTGCTTCCCAGGATATACTGTCGTTGACAGAGCACAATTCATTTCTATCCGATGGGATATCCTGTTGTCCTGTTAGCGTGACCAGGTTTTAAAGGATGGCAAGTACAGAGGAGAGAAAAACAAGTCTATTTTCCTAGAATATTTCCTTTCTGAAAGAGGATCATTTTAAATTAAGGAGTCTTTTTGAGCACATGTTGTATTAAGATGAGTTAACCAATTGCTTTACTTGTTCTAGGCCTGCAGTATCAAACTCAATTTCATTGAGGCCGCATTGGCATTATGGTTGCCCTAAAAGGGCCAGATGGGCGTGGCCGGGTCACCCCAACTAGGTAGGCATGACTGGATGGACATGGCCAGCTTGATGGGCCGGTTTGTGGGCACCACTCCGAGGTGGCTGCTTTGCCCAGCAGGCTGTGACAGAGGCTTCTCCTCTGGGCTTGTGAGCTTCCCAGGCTGGAGGAGAGCAGAGGGGCGCTGGGGCTACTGCTGGATGGGGCTGCTGCTGCAGCAAAGTGAGGCAGGTGATGGGGCAAGAATGGCCTAGCTGCGATGCTGCTGTAGAGGGGTAAGGCGAGGCATGTGGTGGGATGGGAGTGGCCTGGCTGCAAGGCCCAGAGGTGGGCAAATGCAGTGCAGTTTGGATGGGGTTGAGCACGGCTTATTAGAAGCCCTGGCTCACATCTGGCTGGTAGTCGCTGTTGGCTAATGAGCAGCAGAGAGGCCAACCAGCCAGGCACCACTAGACCCTGTGTGTGCACCTAGGGGGAGCACCTGGCTGAACTGGGCTGGGCCAGGGATAGGGCGGCAGGGGCCGTCTCCTTGCCGTCACCAGGGAAGCCCCGCAGGCCAGATCTAAGCACATCACAGACTGGATCTGGCCTGCGGGCCTTGAGTTTGACTTTCTGTTCTAAGCATTGTAAATCTAGAAGCTTAGGAAGAAAATCCTCTTTCTAGCCTTTTAATGCTTTTACTCCATACAAAAAGAAAACACCACAAAAAAGTTAAAAGAAAACACTATTTTAATAGAAATACAAGGGGTTTAAAGTCAGAATATTAAACCTTCATTGACCACATCAATGCATTTTCTAATCTCATAGTTTGTTTCAAAAATACCCAAATACCCAACCACACTTGATTGGTTAATCAATATTAATGTTATATTAAAATGATTTTATGAGCAATTATACATAAACTGCATTATATTCCTATGGTGACAAAATAACAAGATTGGTAAAGAATACCAGGTATTGCTATTTTTTGTTTTATTTTAGAAAAGGAAAAAAGGAGAGATGTTATTTGTGGAATCAAGATGTCCAGAAACTTTATACCTCTAGCTTTTTCATTAGAGAACTACTATAATTTACTGTAATATCAGACTATTCTTACTATAATATCAAATAGACAATTTGCATTCTTACTGGCAGTAAATTGCAATAAATAGCATGGGGCTTGGTTAAATAAACTACCATGGAACTGTTCACTGGCCACCATTTTCCAAGTTTCATATTTCTATAACAAAACCATGCACTTTCCTGAGTCTGAGATTCCCACACTTTATATTTTTATGGGGTTGTTAATTTATATGCCCATAAATTTAAATATATTGGATAGGAATGGAAATTTATTTGGGTTATCATCACTACCTAGGACAACTCTGATGATGTCTCTTTTTCTCTCTCATGCTGAGGCCTGAAAGCCTGAAATGACATTGACAAATTAATAATTAATCTTTCCTTAAGATTTAAAGCCAGAAAGCATCAAAGTCCTTGGAATTTGACTATTAGTAATTTATTATAAAAAAAGAAATGATAGCAATGTAGAATACAACAGTATTTGTGCTCACACATGTATGCACACATACATACAGTGGACATTCTAAACAGTATGGTTAATTTGGAGAAAAAAGAGTGCAAGTGAGGTGATTAGATGAGCATTAAACAAAATACAATCAGAGCACAGGTTCAATATCATATTACTATTGCTTTCATTATTGAACAAGCTTTGCCTTTACAGAAATTAAAACAGAAACAGAAAACAAAAGGCGACCACTTCAATACTGCCATACAACCATCACACCCAGTATTTTTGCATACTTGATAGCAGCATTCCACCCTACCCCACTCAGGAAATATTAAAAGCTACATATCAAAAAAACAGAGCAAAAATTATGGCAGCTAATAACTTGTATTCAAAGGAACATATAATTAAATTACTGTAAAGATAAACATGTTGGGAAAATTCATCTACATTCTTTAAATATTTGTCTTCTAAACTGCTTAAATGAAAATCTCAATTGAAGAATCAAGCTTCACACGTTTTTGGCCGAAAGAAGTTTTTCAATTCACAGCTTACGGCATGCTTGGAATAGGGGCAATTATAAATTCATCTACACAATCAAGTATGATGACTTAGGAAAATAAAAGTTTACTACCTGTAAACACGCAAATATACATGCCTTTGCTTCCTTAAGTAATTGTAGTTTTACAATACATTATCTTCTGTATCTTCCTCTTTCTCCTCTGTCTCTGTCGCGATCACATATTCTTTCTCTCTCTCTTTCCCTCCCTCGTTCCCGATCTCTGTCTCTTCGGTTATCTCGGGGTCGATCTCGTTCACGATCCCGCTCTCTCTCTCTCGGCCTGCTTCTTCGACCACTGACAACTGCTTGCGTCCGACGTAGAAAGTCATCCACCCTCATGTCATAATCATGCTATGGAAGGCACAATAAGTTTAAATATCACTAAGTTTAAAATCGCAAGTTCTTCTATCTGCTCGGGAGTTATTAAAAACACTTGGATCTAAAGGGTTACCAATTATCCAGCAACAGTTCACTGTTGTAATGTTAACATATTTAATAACTATTAGTATATACTAGACCACTTTGATTTATTTATTTATTTATGAGACTTATATACCGCTTTAAGTGCAAGCACTCTCTAAGTCAGCGGTTCTCAACGTTTGTGTGACGGCGACCCCGTCACACAAATGTTATGCGCATGCGCGGCGCCGCCCCCTGGAGGCGCGGCGCCGCCCCCATGCACGGCGCACATGCACGGCGCCGCCCCCGGAGGGGAGAAAATGGCGGATCGCCGCCTTTGGCGACCCCCGAAAAATGGTCGATCGACCCCAAATGGGGTCGCGACCCATAGGTTGAGAACCGCTGCTCTAAGTGGTGTACACCAGTAAGCAATGTATATATATATTTTCATTGCCCCCAACAATCTGGGTCCAATCTGATTTAGATAGTAATAATCTCACAAGTCTGACTGTGCTGCCTCTCCTCTCTTAAAACCCTTAGAAAGGTGTTTGTCAAGGTTATTTCCACATACTTTCTACACGTCCTAGGCTTAATCTATGTTTTATCCTTCATTCTTTGGTAACTCTCACTCTCTCCCTCAGGCCATCCTCTTTACATTCTGCAGTTTCCACATGCTGATCTTTATTTTTTTAACTGAAAAATTTGAAATATGTTGCCTGCAAACCTTATCACACTGAGTTTTACAAATATGTAAATACCTTCCCCCCCCCTTCTTTTCAACTGTGTCCGATTATAGAAGACTAGACAAGTCCTTGCAGTATTTTTGGCAAAGTTTTTGGAAGCAGTTCGACACTGACTCCCAACTAGAGCGGATAGTGACTCACCTGGCTTTCTATCTAAAATGGGAATAGAACTCATGACTTCCCGCTTTCTAGCCTGATGTCTTAACCACTACATCAAATTGGCACTTCTGTAACTATCTAGTCCTAGATATTTAGCCATTTCATAATGAACATAGTGATTTTCAACCAAATCTGAATCAACCAAATTCTCCTAACTTGGAAGACAGTGACCCAGGCTGCACTTACCACTCGCTTATCCCTGTACCGTGCATCATGTGGCATGGGATGGTGTCCTGAGTAAGGAGGGTGAGCCTGTGGAGGTGGAGCATGGTGCTGGTAGTATGGATGATGGGGAGGCTGTTCTATCCCTGGATAAGGAGGCTAAAAAGAAAAATTTCCTTGTTACTCTAGTAATTTGCTACCTGAGAACATAGCAGCATCAACAGGAAAAATATAATTCAATATTTGAGCAGTACCGCAATATATATTTAACATGGTATTTGAATTCTCATGTGTTTAAACCTTTTTGCAACAAGTTCATTTTCTGCCCCAGGAAAGCTGAAGATATTTAATGCATTTTCTTACAGCTACTACTAATAAAAAATACTCTTAAAATATTTTTTGTAACAAGTTAGAATAGGATTCTATAAATAAGAAAGATCAATTGTTAAATCAAAGTTTCAACTGAAATCACTGTAATCATTATTACTGCATCAGAACTGTGCATTGATTACAAATCTGATTTCAGACCAATTTGGTAATTCCAATCAATCAATTTTTATTACAGTCTCAGATCAGCATTACAAACAAAAGCATTAAGAATAATAATTTAATACAAATAAAAAAGCGAACAAAACAATATATTACTATTAGTGATGGATTATCAGTGGTCAGTTAGAATCTGCCTAATTTTGCACACAGTATAATAAAATTTGGCTACATTTAAATAAACTACTTTGTGCTGATCTGATAGCAGCAGTGTATATAAAAGAGATGTATTTCCCAGGCATTTTATTAAGTGAGGTGTTATAAACTGAGGTGTAATTCCTTGCAGAAGATGCACAATAGCAGGCAGGAGTTATCGTTTCCTTGTCTACCGGGGCAAAATCTCAGTTTATATGGTATTTTTTTGTATCAGCCCTCCAAAATTGCTGTGAGAAGTGCATTGCTGCATGCTAAGATTAACACCCTTCGGATTTTGGAACAGTTATTCAATATAAGTATCTCGCTGCTTTAAAAGGGGGGATCTGGCTGCTCAAAAATGACTAATTTCATCATTTAAAAAGAAATTTTGTTTTGAGGTGATTCAAAGCATTTTCCTCTACCTGGATCTTGTTTAGAAAATTCATTCCCCCCCAATATCTCATTATCACTGAGAAATAATAATTAACTTTCTTTAGTTTGATACTATTCATAATTCATTTCTGGAGAATCTCTTATGTACCAAATTATACTGGACATTAATAGGCTTGCTGGAATTCAATTTTTTAAAAGATGGAACCTGTTGGCAAATTAATTTCTTTGCAGAATAAATAAATTCTGGTTGACTATTATGAGATTGATCTGTCAGTTTTCTACGAATTTGCTTAGGAAAGCTGTGAAAAGTAGACTTTTTGTGGCTCAGTTTATTAAAACAGTAAAAATTAAACTACTTCAAAACATTCCATACATAAAGTAAGTTATTTCAGGTCAATGGTGCTCCAATTGGATAGTGCCCAAAATAGTCCTCTGAATCTGCAAGCATGGAGACAGGAAAGCTAATGCTCAAGAATGAACTAAGACTTGGAATGGACAGAGTGACACATAACTAAAACAAAATATCAACAAATTGCCCGAACTTGCAAGGATGGAATCAGAAAGCTAAGGCTCAGAATGAACTAAATTTACAAATGCCAAAAATATTTTTTAAAAATTTCTTTTAATATGTAAAAAATAAGAAAAATATCAAGGAAATGATAGGTCCACTAATAGAGGAGGTGGCAACATAGTGACAAGCATCAAGGAGAAATGGAACTGCTTAATTCCTTTTTGCATTTGTCCTTATGCAAAAGGAAGAAATAATCCAATAATCCAACACTGAGAGACAAAACAGGAAAGGGCAAAATAGGAAAAAAAAATAGTAAAGAAAACACCTTTCCAATTTAGATGAGTTCAAATTGCAGGGCCAGAAGCATTACATCTCAGGATTCTAGAGAAACCGGCAGGTGTGACTCAAAACAACTGAACAAGATATTACAAAGCTCCTGAAAAAGAGAAAGAATTGGAAAGAGGAGGATTGGAAAAAGAGTAGATGTGGTTGCTGATGGAGATTCTAAACCATCCAGGTAAATGGTCTTTCTTGGAATTGTTCCTTGAAAACTTCTCATCCAAGAAGCTTCTTCAACTGATGTGGTTCCAATTTTTGAAAAAGAAAAAAGGGAAAAAAGTAGAACCATAAAACTACAGATCAGTCAGCTTAACAGCAATACCAGGAAAGAAAATATAATCAAGCAGCAGATCTGTGAGCTCCTAGAAATGAACAAGACGATTAATAAATGCCAGCTTGGGTTTGTTAAAAACAGACTGTGCCAAACAAACCTTACTGCCTTCTTTGATAAAGTGATTAAATAGTGGATCAGGAAAATGCTATTGATATAGTATACTTGGATTTCAGTAAAGCATTTGATAAAGTAGATCACAGTTTATCCTCAATGTAGAATAGACAGTATCACCACCAGATGGATTCACAATTGACTGACCAATCACACTCAGCATGTAACCCTCAGTGGAGCCACATCTACATGGGAAGAAGCATATAGTGTGATTCTGTCAAGGTTCAAGATTCTATCTTGTACTCTTCAATAACTTCATAAACAATCTAAACAAGGGAACAGAAATATCTCATCAAAGCTGCAGATGATACCAAACGGGGGAATTGCTAACACTTTCGAAGATAGAGATTCAGAAGGAATTTGGCAGATTAGAGAAATTTATTTATTTATTTATTTATTAGTAAAATTTATATGCCGCCCAATCCCTAGGGACTCAGGGCAGTGTACAAAATTAAAACAACGTGTATAACAATTAAAAATGATTAAAAATGAAATGAGCCTATTCATCAAGATGCAGTTCAGCAGTGAGAAAAATAAGGTTCTGCACTTAGGCAAGAAAAATCAAATGCACAGGTATAGAATAGCAGTACTTGAGTCAACAACAGTTATTGTGAGAAAGATCTAGGCATCCTAATAGATGGGCCAGTAGCATGCTGCAGTTGTCAAAAAAAGCCAATGCATTTCTAGGCTGCATCAACAGAAGGATAGCATCAAGATCATGAAAGTGATTGTACTGCTAAATACTACATTAGTAAGGGCACATTTGGAATCCAATTCTCGTCACCATGATACCAAAAAAAAAAAAAAAAAAAAAAAGATGCTGAAACCCTTGAAAGAGTGCAGAGAAGAGCACTCTCAGATAAGTGGTCTGGAGGCTAAATCATATGATCAGCAACTGAGGGAGCTGTCTAGCCAAACAAAGAGAAGGATTAGGGGTGACATGACAGATGTCTTCTAATACTTGAGTGATAATCACAGATGAGGGAGTTTATTTATTTTCTAAAGCACTTGAGGACAGTATAAGAAGCAATGGGTAGAAGCTTGTTAAAGAGAGATCCTACTATTAAGGAGAGATTTCCTGACAGTGACATCAATTAACCAAAAGAACAGCTTTTAAAGAAAAGATTGGACATTCAGTTGTCTGGGATGGTATAAGGATTCCTGCCTTGGGCATGGGATTGGACTAGAAGATCTCCAAGATCCCTTCCAACCCTATGATTCAATTATCAAATAAAACATGCATTTTAAATAAATATAAATAAAGATAAGTAGGTAGGTAGGTAGATAGATGGATGGATAGATGTAAGGGGAGATAGAGAAAGAAAGGAACTAGGAAGATAAAAAAAAAAGTTGAGCAGGTAGAGCAGTTCGATATGTTCCACTTAAAACTATACAACACTGAGAATCTGAAAAATTCCCACTAACACCTGCAAGGGCTAGGAATGAAAAATTGTGAATGAAAGAATATACCTGCGCATGTGTTTACATTAAAAATTTTAAAAAATGCATCAGAAGAGAATGGATAACAGATGTGAAACACAACAGAAAATTTATCTGGCAGGTATTTTGGAATAACTGGAGTAACAAAATGGAGATGGTGACATAAGTTCTTAGCTGGTTTTAAAAGGTTTTCCTTTTTAGAAATGCATCACAAAACCTAAAATACTGAAACTGTATAAGCAGTTGTGTTAGAACTGAATGACCTGGAATATTCCATTTCTTTTTCAAACATTTTTGTGGCATAGTATGGTAATCTTTTTTTAAAAAAAATCCTTGTAAAAAACCAAAATCTGTGTTGAATACTATAAGTCATTTTTAATTGGGAGGATTAGCTTTCCCAAGAAAACAGCTGGAGAATTCCAGAACTAAAGAAATGGAATGTTCTAGAAATGTTCTGGAACAACATAACTTATGTCAGCCTTCTGATATAGTGCAGATGAACTAATTCTACTTTATTGTAAAGTTAGAGTTAACAAAATTTTAAGAATCTGAAAGTACATTTCTCTCCTGGTGCTTTTATAAACCAAGAAACCAAGGGAAGCAACTCTTCTAAAGATATTCCCCACACCCACATTCCTGCTAAGCTGCCTCTTATCCACCTGTTCCCTGGTTGCATCCCTCCAAGGTCATTTCCACATATCACTGCATCTATAGCCTCTTATTGACTAATAAAGATCATTTTTCTTTCTCCTCATACTCATTTGAAGTGTTACTACTTCTATCATAACATTTCTTTGGAGAAGATTTAGACCTGTTTTTCAAGTATGAGTTTTATTATGGCTAGTCTTTATAGCTGGGTTGCTTAACAATCATCTGCATTTATGATGGAACAGGAGCTTTAAAGTCCACAAAGCATCCCAGGTCATTGTAAAAATTTTGTGCTGCAATCTGGTCACTTGACCACATATTGGGCACTTGGCAAATGGTCGAATCTATGAACACTCATGGTGTTCCATGGTCATGTGACTATGATTTGTGACCTTTTTTGTTGGTTTCCAACAAAAAAGCCCAATGGATTCACATTTACAACTGCCGTTTGTCTAATCACTTCTGGTCATGTGAGTACATCAACTTATGACCAAACTGACATGATCAGATTTCCAGTCCCAACTGTAGTCATAAGTCAAGGATTATCTATATTGCTTTTCTTCATTTATTTGTTAATCATGGTACAACTCTTCCACATTGACAGTGTAAGCTTGTTTAGTTAAGTTTTTCTTTTCATTTCTATTCCATGGTTATACAGCAGAATCTTTTCTGAAATGTTTTGTAGGTTGAGTGTGTAACTCCAGATTTTCAGGGTCATTGGCTTTGTCTATAGTGTGGCAGCATCAACAAATCAGTTCAGTATTGGGAGCTTTAATTTCCCAATTACTTCTCAATCATTGTTTACTGCTTAGTTCAAGGGTACAAAAACACGGCCTACCTTCCCAAAGCCCAAGGGACAGAACAGAGGGGTGTTTCTTTTGCTCTGGGGTGTCTGTATATCTGTGTTAAGGAGTAAGCATTCCACAATAACTTATGATGATGCTTAAAACACTCGTTTTAATTCCTGAAGTCTTGTCATCAAGTCCTCTGTTACAGTCCTCGAGGCAACAGATATTCTGTAAGCCTGATGTAGTTCTTTCCCATTAAGGTCATGTATAATTTTCAAATAAACTATGACATGAAGAATATTATGTGAAACTTAGAGTTACTACTTTAACTTGAATCCTACTGATTTCATTGAAGGAAACTGCAATGCCAAGATTGCATTTTCACAGGTACTACTTCTTGATCAGGCTTGTCTAACTCATTTGACTAAAATTAGTAATTAAAATTAGGAAGTTATGTCATAAAGATCTACCAAAAGTCAGGCTTAAAATCACAGCAAAATGCTGTTTTCCACAAAAAGGAGGAACAGCTGTGTTTAGCAATATTCCCTTATAATACTATGGGTATACTAAAGTCAAAGAATACAAAATTACAAACCATTCCTTGCCAAGGTGGTGGTGGTCCCATGTTATGAAATTCTCTCACATAATCATTGTAAGACTACAAAAAACACATATACAAGAATGTCAAAATCAAGCAATATTAAAATCATCTACCTGTTACTACCAATGAAAGACCATAAACTTACCCCATTTAAGAAGACATCTCTCCGAACTCCTGAAAATCGCCTGTTGGAAGTAAGATTTATTAAATTAGACACAAATACTCAGATACCTTAGATTAGGAAACAGCAATTAGACATCTCTTACCTGTCTATATCTTGGTATCTGGGGTCTTTTAAATATCCTGTTTAAAATCAAGCAGCATTACGTATCATATTTATTATATTTGACAACATAAATAGCCATTACCATCTTTACTTTAAGCATGCTACTGCCTTGCTACTCATAGATCCTTCTCTTCCCAACTGGCCCATGTATTTCAACTTTAAAATAACTATGTAACACTTTATGGCAAAATATAGTAAAAATGTTGCTTTACAGGCTGAATCTCAACTAACACCATCTTATATCTTTAGGCAGACTGTCTGGGGCTCCTGGAATCTATTCAGACATATAGTATATGAAAGACCACTGTTCCTATGCTCCCTCCACACCACACACTAAGACACTGTGTGTGAAATTAAGTGAACAGTCTGTGATGCTTGGATTATTCAGAACACAAGGCAGTTTATATAAACTCAGTCCTTTGTTTAACTTTTGGTTTTACTTAAAGATTGACAAGAACTAGTACATTCTTTTGAATGCCTCCATATTACTGTTACAATGCCTATTTGTTCCAAAGAGGTCCTGTTATGGCATAACTATTTTAGAATCTTATTAGTGTGATAGTTATTCCGAGAAAGTCCCCTTATTTTTATTGTTATATTCTCATATTTCTATTCTTAATCAGAGCTTTTATGACTTTAAATTTAAATAATTTATTTAATATTCACATTCCCACATGATGACTATTGTAATACACAAATCTGTAAATTTGTGTATATACATTTAAACAGTAAGATATTAACCTGGTCTTTGGTGAAACTCAGTGGGATAATCAATCCTTGGTTTCTTTCTGCTGTTATGAATATCATAATCCTCTGGTCGACGCCTACATAAATTAGACAATAATTAAGAATTGTTTGGAACAACCTATATCAATACAACATTTTTAGAAGGACTCACTGGAAAAGCCCACAACTTTTGGGAGCTTTTTTTGGTATCTTTTCTGTAATTCGCTATATGAGTTTCCCAGAATTTGTTACAAAAAATTGTATTTGTGGTAGCAACAAAATGTATATTCTTAACTAGAATATTATGATGTGAAGATTTTAGATGCTTAGCAGGGACCTTTATCCAACCATACCTACAAGAAATCCAATCTTAATACAAATTCCTTTAACAGTTCCACTGACTTTTTGGGGTCTGTGTTCTCTTTTGCAGCATGAAATCTACTTGATGCTTACACAATTTCTACATTGAAGTTCACCCTGGAAGCATAAGCTGCATAATTTGTGAATACCATTTTATACACTTGATCTGATTAACTGTCTTACTTGGTTTGTCAAAACTTGATCAATTTCCAACATGCAAATCCCATTCCTGCATAGACACAATTACTTGTTACTGTACAGAAAAAAAAACATTTAAGGCATGAATATTTTAACAAAATCAAATGTTGGAATCAAAAGCCCATTATTTTAGGTTGCTATACATTTTAGTAAAATGAATTTTAAATTGTTTGTTTTTTAAATGATTTTTAAGATTTCTTGTTCTAGTTTGCTTTTCATTCATTAGCATGTTACCTGGTGTTCCCTTCCAATGCACCTCCACAATTTCTATAACAGGGAAACATGAATAGACCATAAAATAATTCCTCCCGCCTCCCCACTTATTATTTAAATTATCATTCTTAAGAATAAGTATCACATTCTGAGAAAATAAAGCAACTGTACGTACAGCAAAAAAGAGATTTAGAAAATAGCTGGTGTAAAAAATAAACATACCGCTTTCTTGTAGTTTGAGTGTGCACTTACGACCGGTATAATATATGATAGTAACAGTTCATATAGTAGTCCAACTACTGACTTTAAGCTGAAAGCCACATACATAAATGGAGGCCCTGGCAGGCTTGAGAAGGTGTGATGGTGTTATAATGTATAGTTTGCAGTCCATTGCAAAACCTTCACTTGTAAATACTTTATTGCACTGGAAATCTCTTAGGGCTTAACTTCAAAAGCCATCTTGGTGCTCAGTCCTTTTATGCCCAAAGAAAGGGGGGTTGCTGCCAGGATTCCTCCTACCTACAGGTTACATTGTCCTTTAAGAGCAAGGATAGGGGGACTCGTTGGATAGCTGTACCTACCAGAGGACATTTCCACAAACTGGAAAGTCTAACCGAAAAGGTTTCAGCCCAAACCACACAGTCTTTAGCAGAAAAGCTTTAGATTTATCAGAAAACAAAGTGGCTACACAGGGATCAGGGAAACGTGTTGGATAGAAGGGATTATTATCAGTCCTTTGCAAAGACTCCTCCAATTCTGTAACAAGATATACCCTTCTTTCTGGGGAATGTTGGTAAGTTCATAGAGTAGTGAGCAATAACCATGGCGATCCTCTAAAACCACTTTTAAGTCCACGGGTGCTGCCAGCATCTGGAAAGGTTGTATACATTGACACAGCAACAGCCATTCTTTTTGGTTTGTTGCCGGGTCTCCAAGGGCTACTTCCTTTGGAGAGAACCTACGGCTTCCAGAAGCTCAGCAAGATGTAAGAGAATATTTGGCAATGGGCATAACCACAGCACGGTGATACAATTTGAAACAGTCCCAAACACGCTCTTCTTGAACAGCAAAATATTATAAATATTTTATCCTCAAAATGAGGCGACCATCTTCTGCAAAATTATAAGTGATCCTGATAAAAGTCCCATATTTGACAAGGCTTATCCAGAGATATACCTGAAAGAAAAGGCTTTTACAAGATATTAACACATTTTGGAACACACAGACTTGATTTTCCTCCACCTAACCTGGTCTTGAAAAAAAATGGCTTACCTACAATTGACTAAAAATCTAGTCAAAGCTAGATTGACACAAACTTTTCTGTGTAAGCAAAATGTCCCCATTTTCCTCTTGAAAGTGACAAACTGGGGGAGAGGGACAATGTGAAATCCTCAATGAAGCCACAAACCCGTCCATGCAGCTTGATGTGAGGATTTTTTCTCTTCTTGATTGCAGGGAAAGCTTTTTGATGAATCATATTCCTCCATCACGTTATTCTGACACATGTGCCTATTATCAGTCCAAAGAATGTTTCTAACCTTCCCACATCTCGGAGTGGCTCTCGACGGGATGGACGTCCTCTTGACCGGGGCTGAGAGTGCATTCTTCTCTTATGACGCATTTTATGAATGACTTGATACAGATCAATACTTTCATCAGGAGGGAATAGGAGACAAAGTTGGGTTCCACATTCAAGCTCAATTTCCTATAATAATTAAATGTTGATGTTATAAGTTCATGTCAGAGTCCACACAAAGGAATCAATGTTTAATTATATGGTTTCATTCTAAGAACAAATGAATACATTTTATGAATGCTAATGCCTAATTTAAGAAACACGTGAAAGCTTAAACAGGTCTGATTAAGCCACTTAAGTTGCATATGTGTAGTGATTTTAATGAAATTAACAAGAGATGGATCAAGGTAGATGTATAGTTACAGGTAGTCCCTGACCTATGACCACTCAGTCAGTGACCATTGTAAATCATGATAGTGCTGAACAAATGATGGTTACAACAATCCTCGGAGTTCTGGCTATCCCAGCATCCTTGAAGACAAGTGATGGCAATCTGAGTGCTTGGCAACTCATTTACATTTCTATTTGCCAAGCCCCCTGCAATCATGTGACTACCATTTGCACCCCTCTTGCCCAGCTTCTCCAGAAAGTGAATGGGAAAACTGGGAAAGAAGGTCACAAGTTGCTCAGATAAGTCTCCTCCTTTAACTCCTCCGTGCTCACAGTATGCTAGCCTCTTGCACACCTCTAGATAGTCCTTGACCTACACTCTCTCCTTAATCCATATGGAACCTCTTGCACACCCTCCAACCTGCATAGTGCCTCTCCAATACTCTTGTGCATGCTCTCCACCTGCACCTCCCCCTCTCCCACCAACCCTCACCAGCATGCCCTTGTCCTTTTTCTCACCTAGCTGCTGCCGCTTACCTGTTTGTGCACCTCAGACTTGCAACTTCTTGCCAGCTTTCCCAATGACTTTGGTTGAGGGAAGTTGGCAGGAATTTGCCTCATCTAACAACTAGGATTCAGTTAAAGATGGCAACTGGAACTACAGGGATTTCTATCACTAATTTGTGTGGTCACGCTTTATGAGTGCATCACTTAGTGATGGAAATTCCAGTTCCAATTGTAGTTCAAGATCTGCCTGTCTTTATTTAATTTAATGCACACCCCAACTTAAATATACATGCTTAGTAAATAGGCAATTTTCATACAAGTTCTTATCTCACAATTTGTGAGAATAGGGAATGTCAATCTATGAGATGCTGTGGCTGTGATATATTTACCCATGTTGGTTTATCATCTTTCTTCCCATCAGTTCAACTGCCATTTTCCATCATTACGAGTGCTTTGATTAAAAAGTTGAATGACAGTTCTTCTGGTTTCATGCAACCTTGTTATAGAAATCTGCTTACAATGGCATATTTTATTTTAAAAGAACTTGATGTACATCCTCAAATGCTTTAATAAAATATTTGGCAATCTTTTTACCAAAATGTGACAATATTATATAGATAATTGTGATAAAACAAAAACAGAATTAACTGTCAAAGATGAACAACTATATCACAAAAAACCTATTAAGAATATTTTAAAATACTGGAATTAATATTTTAAAGAGCAGTCAAAGGCAGTTGACAAACCTGTCCATCACGTCCAATCTTTACTGGCTTATGTTCATTCCAAGGATTCGTCAGGTGAGCAGATTTTGTGAATGGTAATTCACGCCTAAAAATATGATATGATACACTTTTTCATATATGAAGTGTAACTTAAAATATGAGAACCCAACTATCAACGGATCTAACGAATGAAGCAGAGCTTAGAGGCTAAATCCTATGAGATCATAATATTCATCTCACAAAGCAAATATTACAATCTCCAAAATTTGTCTTCAGTTCTGATTAAGCAACTCTAAGGCAGGTAAATTTAATCTTTCTTTTATTTTTTCTTACTGTCTAATGTTCACAAATCCCCTTATCCATACCCTTGGTTTTGCAACAAAGGAAGCAGATTGATAAAAATGTAATTTTTCCTATATGAATTACATAATAATGGTGCTGGAAAACTTTTTGACCCAGTGCTCCTCATATCTGCCATCCCACAAAGTTAAACAAGGCAGGAAAAGAAGGGGGAAAAGAGTCTCGAATAGAAAAACAAATTTTGGATGCTATGGGAGAAGCCAGGAAATGATTAGTTTTGTTCTCCTTGAAATCTAATAGATTAATAGACTGATTATGTGCCATAACTTTTAGTGACTATTAGTGAATTTTCTCCATAATAATCAATCACAGATAGGTTAATCATCTAAATAGGATCATTTTTTTATTTTCAGAGAACTAAACCTACTTGATTTGGGGAAAGACTATGAGGGATTATTTTTAGAATCAAATTCCAAGCTTACCTTTGGCAAACTTATTTGTTATTACTAATAAAATCCTCTAAACAATTTTTGAAATTAGGTTTCACTATTTTCATTTATATTTCTAATGAAACAAACTGGAAGGGATTCCAGGCTCTGGAACAAAATGGAAGGGATTCTAGTCTTTACTAAACCGAAACGGATAAAACAGACAATACTTAGTTTTTTAAATAATGTTTCTTAAAAGCTTAAGTCACATTTCTAGCACAACTTCCCACTGGGGAAGAAAAAAGGAACTTTTTGCTTCTCTACCAATTTTACACTTAATGTGATTTCAAAATCCAAGGAAGGAAGCTATCATCAATAGAAGACACATAAGACTGTAAGAATGATAAGAAGGCAGCAATTCAGAATCAGTAAATATCTTAAAACAAAAACCACAGCAGAAGAATTATGAGAAAGAAAAATGGGGTAGCAGAATCCCTGACTTTGATGCGTCAAAATATGGACCTCCAGGCTACTGAAATAATTTTATATTTCAATATTACACTCAAAGTCAAGTCTCTCTTGAGATAAGCTCAACTCTTGGCACCTATATAATCATATCCATATTGTTTTCTTGGTATCAATACAGATATTATTCACACTGCTGTCTTCCAAGATGTTTCTCAACTTCCCATTTGATCCTACAATCCAGGTGTAGGCAATTTTCCCAAGGGGCCACATGAGAAACTGGGACTGTTGTGGAGGGCTCTCGGCACCACCCCAAACCTGATGCTGCCATTGCCCCCGCCAATGCTATGGGCTGGACAGGGACAGCTCATGGGCTGATATGGCCCGTGGGCCATAAAAAGCCCAGGTCTATTATGGCCCTACATATTCTGGTGATCTCTCATCAAAGTATTAACTAGAGGTGACATTATTGGGGGTTTTCTTCTTTTTTCTTTAGTTAAGACAAGTCAAATTTGGATAGGGGCTCTGGCATGCAAATATTACTTGCTACATAAACATTATATATCTATTCTACAATAAATAGCCTATCCAACCACATTTTTATTTTCTAATTTCCACCCATTTTACCTGCATATCCAATCTATCTTAAATACTCCTCCCAGCATTTTTGCACTCATTCCTGCAGGTAGCACCCAATGTATGGGAGATCCTCCATGGTGAGATTCAGAAGCAAGCCTTGCAAATCCTGTAAGAATTTAAAAAGTGTGATGAGGCCCCTTATCCAAATAATTTTTGATTTATGAATGCAAGTATTCCTTTTACAAGTAGTCCTCGACTTAGAACCACTCATTTAGTGATTGTTGGAAGTTACAATAGAAGTGGAAAAAATGACTTATCACCATTTTCACACTTACGAGTTGCAGCATCCCCATGGTCACATGATCAAAATTGGCAAGTGGCTCATATTTATGATAGTTGCAGTGTCCTGGGGTAATGTGATCACCATTAATGACCTTCTGACAAGCAAAGTCATTAGAGAAGAAAGATTCATTTAACAACTGTCTTACTAATTTAACAACTGTAATGATTTACTTAGCAAGAGTGGCAAAAAAAGTCATAAAATGGGGCAAAACTCATTTTAACAACTGTCTAGCTTAACAACAGAAATTTTGAGTTCAATTCTTGTTGTAAGTCGAGGACAACCTATACCTACCTTGGAATTTTCCACTCTCTCTTACAGAAAATATCAAGATCACACTTCTTGCTGATCTGAAGGCAGCATTGAGCTTTTTCTCATTGACTGGAAGGGTTGACCAAACACCCTATGGAGAGATGAGCAAATAATTTACAAAACAAAAACTATCTGATGGGTTCAAGTTCAGTACGATTTTGGAATATATTCAGCAACAGCATATATTTTCTATGAAGAAGACCTCAGTTTCTATCCCTGCAATTCCCAGATCCAGAGAATAGATCCAAGACAGATATCTGTCTGAGTCATAAAAAAAAACTATTATCAGAAGGTGGAGACAATCGTATAATATTTAACTAAGAAACCTTTATATATTAATACATACAAAAAAATTTGGGAAACAATCAGAAATATTCACATTCTTAGTAATCTACAGATAACATTTGTAAGTTTAAATTCATTTTAACCAATATGTGATATTCCTTCTACACTAGGGGTCCCCAACTCCTGGGCCATGGAATGGTATCGGTCTGTGGTCTTTTAGGTGTGAGGCTGCAAAGCTGGAGGTGACCAGGGGGCAAGTGAGTGAAACTGAAACCATCCCCCTCCCCATCAGTCCATGGAAAAATTGTCTTCCATGAAACCAGTGCCAAAAAGGTTGGGTGCAACTGTTCTACACAAAGCAAAAATAAGAGAAAAAAATACAATAGGTAAGAAACTAGTTCATCATTTCTAATAGTTTGTCTGTAAAACGTGCAAACTTCTACAGATCTATTTGGCATTCCCCAAAGAAACATACATATGTTTAGAATTTGAATTCTAAGATCAAAATTGCAATTTTTCAGCAGTACATTTGTAAAATGTAAGCTCTTAAATATATGTCTTATGACTCCCAAAGGGTTAAAGCATTAATTTTGCACAAAATCTGGGGGGCAATATGGGGGGGGGGGCAAACAGGAACAAAATTTTTGTTACTACCCATTCCAGTGACATTACCACCAACTTTCCATGACTTCTGGTGGTTGAATATAGTTAATTTGGAACATGTGGCTGGGGGAAAATGTTGCCCATTTTAGATGAGGCAATGAATCAAGAAAAAATATATTTTATTTGCATTTATGTTTTAGTAATTATATTTATATTTAATAAAAGAAAAAGAAAATTAAATAATTAAAAAGAAAAGCAATTAATCTGATTCCATATTTTGCATAAGATTTCACAGGAATTCAACATACCTTAGCTTTGGCAAGAGAGACATTTTCATGGTTGTTACTTTTTATAAGAAAAAATCGCGCCTCTTGGAGAATATATTTAAGTTTGCTAGTTTGGTCTGGAAGGAAAAAACAAAATAGGTAAACTTTACTTGCCAAGGAAACTTAAATATAGGTAGTCTTCAACTTACAACCATTTGTTTAGTGACTGTTTGAAATTTCAAATTGACTTATGACCATTTTTCACACTTATAACCATTGTATCATCCCCATGTCATGTGACCAAAATTTAGATGCTTGCCCAAGGACATGTGTTTATCACTGTTTACAGTATCCTGGGATCATGTGATCACCTTTCATGACTTTCTGACAAGCAAAGTCAATGGGAAAACCAGATTTAATGAAAAACTCTGTTCTAACTTAACAATTAAGTTAGAATAACAACAGTCATTCCTTTAACAACTGTAGCAAGAAACATAGAAAAAGAGGTAAAACTCATTTAACAACTATCTTGCTTAGCAATGGAAATTTTTGGCTCAATTGTGATCATAACTCAAGGACTCTTATACTTATAGGATTTGGAGTACAAAATCTAGCTGTTGCAATGGCAAAATTGGCCTCTAGCAGGGCATACGTCAATCATGTCAAACACAAGGCCCTCGGGCCAGATCTAGCCTGTGATGGGCTTAGACCTGGGCTGCAGGGTGACCCTGGAGATGGCGAGGGGCTGGCCCCCGTCTCGGTCCTAGTTCACCCCTGCCCAGCCAGGCGCTCTGGGCATGCGCACAGGAGGCTGCGAGTGTGCGGAGGCTGGCAGTGTCTGGCTGCAACTGCAGCTCATTGGCCCCTTGGCCGCACATTGGCCGGCAGCAACGTCCAGCTGGATGTGAGCTGGGGCATCCAATAAGTCACGCTCAGCCCCACCCTGCATGCAACACAACTGCATACTGCGAGGCCCTGCAGCCAGACTACCCCCCTTCCCGCCACCTGTCTGCCCTCACCCCATGGCAACAGAAGCAGCCCCGTCCAGCAGGAGCCCCGCTGCCCCTCCGCTCTCCTCCAGCCCAGGAAGCCCAGCCTGGTCAAGGACAGCAAGCACAGCAGCAGCATCCTAAAGGAAGAGGTAAGTATGGCCAGGCATCCCTCAGGAAAGCAGAGCTGGGCTGGACTGTGAGGCACTGGGACTCCACAGGCCAGGCCAGCCCAGCCCAGCCCAGCTTCCCTGAAGGGGAGCCTAGCTGTGCTTAGCTCCTCCTTGAGGCTGCTGCTGCTGTGCTCACTCTCCTTGGAGGACGGCAAGGCTCCCCTGGTGAATGATGCTCTGGCACTCGCCCTGGTCTCGCCTTCTTCTGCTGGAGACTTCTGGATCCCACTTCCAAGCCTTGCATGGTACTCAATGTGAGCTGGCCACGTTGAGCTGGCCACACCCAGCCAGCTATGCCTACCTGGCCCTTTGAGGGCAACTATAATGCTGATGTGGCCCTCAATGAAATTGAGTTTGACACCCCTGGTCTATGCAGTTTAATCCCATGAATTCCTTCTCAATAAAAGAAAGGTCTATAATTCAAATATATAATTGTGCTTTTCAAATGAGTGAATAATATAATACCACCAAATTCAGATTTCCATACCATGCAATGTTAAACTTTAAAAGCAAAGTAAGTTATTCAAGGTAGAAGCCAATGCAACATTAATAATGTTCTGATATTTTTATCTATAATAACCAACATAGCCTTAAGCAGAGAAATTATTTTTATGAAGTTTATCTGTAAAAGGATGTTAGATTACTTATTTGCCTACTAATTCAGTGATGAAATGTTGTTTTTTCCATTAAAAACCACATGCAAATAATTTGAATTATTCAGTAGTATGCATTTTACTCTACATCGGAACATTATTTTATTTGCTATATAAGTCAATACAATAGCTTGCAATAGATGCATGCATTAAAAAGTTCAAATTTAAATTATACCTTTTTGGACAGCACGAACGGAAGATGATAATTTCTCATGCTTCTTTTCTGAACCTGTATTTAGCCAAAGTACATTTGTTCAGATTGAGCCTTAATAGAGATACGATACAAATTCTACAATCTTTTCACATGCTATTTTCATTCATGACAAATTATTCCTCCTATGCGCACCCCCACACACAAAAAGAATGCTTCTCAATGTGCATGAGGATTTGAATTTGATTTTTTAGTTGTCTGTTTTTGAGTTCGATTTGTTAGACCAGTTTTCTATAGAGAAAACTAGTTAATGAATCATCATCTTCCAAGTTTAAAAAAGTGAAATTTCCATTTAAGCAACGTAATAGAATTAACATAAGAAAGCCCACTTTATCAAATTATTCACACAGAACATGCCAAAAAAACTAACTATATTGGTTCAGCTGTATGTCCAAAGCCTATTATGGCCTATAGTTTATTTTTACCAATGCATTTCAAGGGTTTTCTACAGATCATATTAATGAAGATAAGCAATCACAAAATACCTGCATATGACTCTGATGCAGAGCTTCCACTTCTATCAAAAACAATTGGAGAGATGCCTCTAGCTCTTTTCCTGGCCTTCTTTTTCTCATCTAAGATCATCAAAATAAGCAATAGCAGTTTTTTAAAGGTTCAAACAAAAAATCAATATTTGTAAAAAAATATATGATTTAAAATAGTATATAGTTGACTCTCAAAAGGTTTAAAATCTATTTCAATGATATTTTCTCATTGGGCCAGAATTCAGAGAACTGTGATAATAGTGATAAAAGTATCAGAAATTTAGTTAGACAACTTGATCTGAACAGAAACAATGCCTGTCAAAGCTATATTTGAAGCTCAGGGAAACTTCTGGAGGGTCTATATGAGGAATGCTTCTCAAAGTTAAAAAAAAGAGAGCATTAACCTCCATTTGGATTATCAACAATATTTCAGTTATAGGTGTAATGCATTTAAGTATATTCTTATTTATAAACAGTTGCAAACCTAAATTAGGTCCCAATCTATACATACTAATTCATTGTAGTTGTCTCATTTACATGACTAAAATCCCCATCATTAGTAACAGTAATACCGGAGCAACAGAATCACATAGGAAAATCCTTTATCATTGCTGCAGATTCTTCATCAGAAATATTGAAAATTCAAAACAAAAACCAGCATGGCAGATGTCAATGTTATCTTTCCACTGTAAACATTTAGATCTTTTCTCTCCAAAGTGAAATTAAAGATTAATACATTCCAACAACACTCAACTAGTTGAAACTAAATCCCGAAAAAAATTATCATGTCCGATTATACCAATCATAGCTTATATAAATAGGAAGGGGTAAATGCATTACAGAAGAAAGTATCTAGTAGTGCTCGCTTAATGATTGTAACTATTTCAAAAATGTATTTGCTTTACAGATGGTTAACAATTTAAAATAGCTAGATCTTTGCTATTTGCTGTATCTTTACTAGTCTGTTTACCAGTCTTTTTACTGGTGGAAAATGTAGTTTAAGTTCCATTACTAGCAATGCAGTGGTAAAGTGCAATGTCATTTGACTGCACTGATTTTTACCAGGAATCCTGGTATAGTCCCCCTGCTATCATTAAGTGAGGATCACTGGTTGTTAAGCAAGGACTTCCTCATAACTTCCTGCCAGCTTCCAAGATGCAAAATCAGTGCAGAATCTGGTAGGGAATTGCAAGTTCCAGATGGCTTGCAAGCAGGCTGGTGGATAAGTACGTAGCTGCTGCTGGATGGGGCGGGGTTCATGGATTGCCAGCAAGATATGGTATGAGCACAGAGTTGGCTGCTGGTGGGTTGGGAAGATATGCAGATTGCCAGAGCAGCTGAAATGGGCAGAACTTTGGGGACCAGTCATACTCTTATTCAGCACTGTAATAACTTCAAATACAATTTGCTGAATTAGTGATTGTTAGAGTGATCAAATCTAACTGATTCGGGATTAGATGTCCAGGATAATACTTAATGCTCTGTTCTCCTTGGGACCATGCTAATCCCCCACCCCCCAAATGTACCAATCCAGTGGCTTCTGGAAGTAAATCTTCCAAACTGAAAGTAGTTCTGATAATCTCAATAAAGTGTTCCAAGACTATACAGATCTGATTTTAGGGCCAGAGCCACCTTGAACTATTTGCTTTATCTTTATTCTCACTGAAATCTATACTAATCTGTTTACTGGTGGAAAATGTAGATTTAAGTCTTAGTTCATTTTGTCTGTTACAGTATTCAAAATATGGACTACATTCTGATTTGAAGAATTTTCCTTGCTAATAGAAATTCTTAAAAAGGTAGAATTGTGGGCAAAATAAGTAATTGCACCAGCAGAACCTTGTGTTTTACGCTTCACTTCTTCACAGATTCTGGCCTCTAGGATGGAAACTGATGGTCTGCCATTCTGTTATTCATGTTTTTTTGTCCCTACTATTCATAATAAAGCTAGTATTTTTAGCTCAAACTATTGAATACTGACATAGGACAGAAAGAGATCACAGCATTTCTTACCTGATATCTCAGAGCCTGAACCAGTTCTCACTGACCCATCAGTAAAGGATGCAGATTCAGAATCAGAGTCACTAGCTTCACTTCGCGTATCATAATCATTTCCCTCCTTCTGATCTCTTTCATCTTGATCGTACTCTTCCTCCTCCTCATCTCCATCTTCTTCTACTTCCTCCTCTTCCTCTCCATCATCTTCTTCCTCTTCTTCCTCTTCTTCTTCCTCTTCCTCCTCCATTCCTTCCTCCTCCTCCTCCTCTTCTTCATTTTCAGTGTTTCCTGCATCAGAGGAACCACTACTACCTGTTTCACGGTCTGAACCATATTCTTCAGAATTTACTTCTTCTTTTGAAGAATGGCTTGACCTGCTTGGTCGTCTCTCCACATCATGCCTTAGTCTCTGTTTATAGAAAACAATCAGTAATCAAGACCAATTATTTTGAGATAAAACTCTAAATGCTTGCTTTAAACACTCATTTTATATGACTGCAATGTATTGTTCATTCAGGTTAAAAAAATAAATCTCTATTTAAGCCTAGGATAGAATAAATTAAAAATTAAAAGCCAAATACTGACACTGCTTAAAACTAAGCTAGGAAATAAAATGCTGAAACTAATAATATAAAGCAACAACCTATTGCAGAAAAGATCCTATCTAAGTACAGAGAGATTAACAATCCATTACTTACTGCAGAAGCATCTGGAGTAGAGGACTTAGCTCTTCTGTCAATTTCCCTTTTCCTCATACATGCCTTTTCAGGTTGTCCCTTATATGGATCTCTGGAGGTGCTGCTTGTCATTCGTAACTTTCTATCACTTTCTGGATGCTTACTTCTGTCAGACCTTCGATAGTCCTCACTCTTGTATTCTAATACTGGCTTTCCTTTTGTGCTCACAATTCTTTTGTTATTGCTAACAGAAGAGTTTGGAGGCTTGGGTAAGATCTGCCTTGAGGAATGTACAGATGGTTTTTGTTTTTTAATTTCAGCTACTTCCATCCGTTCACTTTTCCTTTTGGATCCTTAAAAAAATAAAAGTTATTAGTTACTTAAATGCTAAAAAACGTGTTGCAAACATTTTCAAAACACAACATTTTCTTATTTAGCATAGGTCAAAGCATAAAGAGACATTTAATCTAAATTTCTGATATCAGTAATTCTGCAACTATTAAGTTTTAGCCAGTTGATTAGAAATTCTAGGATTAAAGCTTGGGGAGCTAAGGTATTAATTTGAAAATTACTGAATAAAGATGAAAAATACAGGAAATCATCTAAAATAAAATTTTGTTTTTTTTTCCATTTTATTAACAGGCGAACATTTCCTATATACCTGCCTTCAAAGACATCAAATTATTAGCTATATTTGTTTACAAAGCAATAGTAATTAGTTTATGTACTATTTTTGCATAAGAAGTCTGAATAACTGTTTCACTTTATCTACTATTTTGCATAAGAAGTCTGAATAACTGTTTTACCTGTTAAAGATATGAAGAAAGAAGACTGGAAAATTGAGATAACATACACTAAATACCATAGATCAAGCAATGTTTGAAAAGCCAGGAGTGATGGGGAGAAAAAATACTTCACAGGGAATTTGCTACACAAATTTCTTCATTAGGAAATGAAGAAAAGAAAAGCATAATGTTCAGCAAGAATAAGCAAGACTTCCTGCATATTGAGAAAAGTTTTCAAGCTTGCCGAGAGGCCACTTGTAAGGCCTGTAAATTTTTCAATAGGTGTCATATCTAATCTGGCTCCAAAATCCAGTTACTCAGATCTCTGGGAGATACAACCAGGTTGTAAAGTAGCATACCTTTTTTGTCATTTTTATCTTGTTCACTATCAGGATTATACAATTCATCATCATGATCTGGTGCATCAGTCAAGATATCATCAAGAACATTTAATTCACCATCTATGAAGAAACAACAAATGTTATTTAGAAATGACACATTTTTTTAAAAAAAAAACTGAATGAAAAGGTACTGCAAGCCAAAATCCCAGAGATTTCTATTAGTATCATTCCTTCTCTATTCCATTCGAGGTTATCTAGAATTAAAGTGGAAACTGAGTACTAAGTTCTTTCTTTAAATAAATATGTTGAATAAACAGGAGGTAATATGATATAAGAAAATAAAAGTTTGTGTCATTATCCTTCAAGGATAGAGTATATTACCCTGTACTTGCTGATCTCACTGGCAATATTTAGCTGTCAGGTATGGCAATGAATAACTTCCTACTGTGCCAAGGAAAGAAATAACTTCCTACTGTGCCAAGGACCTCCTTCGGCCACAAGATTATATGATCTGATGAATGCTCTTAAAGAGTAATTGTGAAATAATTTTAACTATTCTAGAAAGAAATTCCTAGTCCGTTCATCATTACTATCAATTGCTTCTTTGTATTACGTATGCTTTAGGTCAGCGGTTCTCAACCTATGGGTCGCGACCCCATTTGGGGTCGATCAACCATTTCACGGGGGTCGCCAAGCAAGGCTGTCCGCCATTTTTTCCCCTGTTCTGGCGGGTGCCTTACCTCCCTTGGGCTGGGCCAGCTGGTGGCCAGGTGGTCAGCCTGCTCTGTCTCTGCCGCTTGCCAGCTATGCCTCGGTTGGCGCAGGGGGCAGCACCACGCATGCGTGGCGCTCCCAGGCAGGGAAAGTCCTCGACTTACGACCGGTTGGGTAGTCAACTTACGACCGGTTTAGTCCTCGACTTACGACCGGTTGGGGGGGGTCGCGGCATTAAAAAGGTTGAGAACCACTGCTTTAGGTAGTCTTTCCTTAATGACTGTCGCTTAGCAACTATTCAAAATTATGACAAGCCTCCTTACAACCCTATTTCAAAATTCTGACAGCTGTATACCCTACCCCATTCCACATGATCGTATTCTGGCCACTCGACAACTGCCTCACTTTTATGGCCATTTGCACCATCCTGTGATCAACTGATTATGATTTTTGAATGTTTTTTGTCACTTTCCAGTGTTTACTTCTGATTTCCAACAAAAACTACACACTGGATGAAATGGATTTGTTTAATGACTGCAGCAAAAAAACTTATAAAAACGGACAGAGTCACGTGATCTCTTAACTGCAATAACATATGACCATAATTTCATGTTCAGTTATGGTTGTAAGTCAAGACTAACTGCATATATAGTCAGGTTCGTTCATATCAGTTGATTGCTTTCTTTATCGTGGACTAATGAAGGAGGCCACCCCTGGATATGAACTGCTTGTCAGCCATTTGTCCCGTCACATATAGATATGGGTATATTAATTCCTGTAATTCCTCATTGGTGAATGCCACACTTTTGTCAAAGCCCTTGAACTACAGTTGACAGTTTTCACTTTACTCACTTATATGTTTCATTTCAAATTCAGTGTGTGTGGAATATAGAGACCAAATGCCAAAACACTTATTATTGTCCCAATATGAATATAAAAATGGGAATAATTTTCAGCATTCTTTTTAAGCTATTTAGTTTTAATTTATGGTCAGTCTGTCATCAGGACAAAGATAAATAAGAGCATCATAGAGTAACAATTTTTGAACTAGTCTAGAGGTAATCAGTAGCAGCCACAATTTCCCCAAATTTAATAACCTCAGGAATCATAATCCTGAATTTTGGACACACCATAAGTTAACCCATCTGAGGTACCTTAGTTCAAAAACTGTTGCTCTATGAGGCACCATTTTACCCAGTGAAAAGTTATGACAACGGAAGTGTCATGGTTCCGACAGATGAAACTCTTCAAAGAACTTCGAGGTATTGTTTACCTTAAAGAATCTTTATTCAAGAAGCATAACATCAGCACTAACATAATTGAAGCCAAAAACTGAATCCCCCCCCTGAGCACAGAGTATCAAAGCACAATTCCCTCCTCCAATTAACAATCATAAATCACATTCCCCAAGCAGTTTAAAGCGGGGCTTTCTCTCCAGTTCTCCAGACCGCCAATTCTTATCATTTATTTCAACAACCTTGATTCTCACGGCTAGGTCCAGTATTATGTCTAGCTGAACTCTCATACACATCCCCCCCTCCCCAGCATAATCTAACTCTAAAAGCTACATTTCCATCTGTTGTCAAAACAAAAACATCCGTTGTTAGTAGCATTGACATCCGCCCCCCCCCCTTATAAAAAGGACAGATCCTATAACGTAAACAAAAGCACATCTCAGGGATTACCTTTTGGTTTATTAGGGTGTTTCCTATAGAACCTGTTAATGAGTCTGTCAGCTTTCACATTGCTAGACTTCACCCAAGTGGCTTCAGACAGCGAATATCCCTTCCATTGTACCAAGCACTGCAATTTCCCTTTAAAAATTCTAGAATCAAGAATACGCTTTACTTCATAGTGGCTCTGTCCAACTACTACGAGGGGTCCGGGTGCCTTCTTAGGGGGAGGTCTTAAAGTGGAACCCCAAAAAGGTTTCAACAGGCTACAATGGAAAACAGGGTGAACTTTTCCTAAGAGCTTAGGGAGTTTTAATTCCACTGTGACCGGGTTAATGATCTTTACAATGGGGAAAGGCCCCAAGAATTTCAGTCCTAATTTCTTACTGAGTAATTTGAGCCATAAATACTTGATCGACAGATAAACCTTTTCCCCAACTTGGAATGTTCTTTGAGGACATGTTCTTTTTTTATCTGCCTGCTTTTTATAGGTCTCGGAAACCTTTTTAAAAGCAGTCTTTGTGGGTTTCCAAACTTCTTCCCACCCCCTCACTCATTGATCAAGTGTCTGAGATGCGGAGGGCGCCTGGGGTGTTCGGGTATTGGGCTGAATTCTTTTCCTATGGCTACTCTAAAAGGCATGAAGCTGGTGCTGCTGTGAACAGAGTTATTGTAAGCCACCTCTGCAAAAGGGAGGAGGTCAGTTCAGTCTGTCTGTTCTTAGCTGACATAGCATCTGAGATATTGCTCCACCATTGAGTTAGTGGATTCAGCAGCCCCATTAGAAGGATGAAAAGCAGATGATGATTATCCAATTAATTTAAGAAAGCTTCTCCAAAACTTAGCCGTGAACTTCAACCCCCCCCCGTCCAAAATTATTTGTTTAGGTGCGCCATGCAGCCAGTAGATATGTTTCAAGAACAATTTAGTCAGTTGTTGGATGGACGGGAGCTATTTCCTCTACTTTCAGTTAGATCTACTATAAAATCCATAGCAATTTCTTCCCATGGTTGAGAAGGGTCTGCCACTGGCTGCAATAACCCATGGGGTATCCCTGGAATTCTTTTCATAGAGGCACATACAGCACAACTCCTGATATAATTTTCTAAGTCCCGTTTTAATCCCGGCCACCAGAATTGCCGGCAGATGAGATATAGAGTTTTTAAATATCCAAAGTGTCCAACCTGTTTTACATCATGGCCATGTTGGAGAGCGTTAAGGCGGAGGATTTCTGGCAAGTATAACTTTCCCGCCTTGTAAGCTAAACCATCCCTGCAAGTTAGGGAGGTTTGATTGTCCTTGAACCATTGATCAATGAAGAGCTCTTGTTTTATTTTATTTTTTTTGCCCCAGGGTCATCAGGGATAGGGGCTCTGCAAGGTGTGAGTTGAACAGCAGTTTGTGGATTGGAGATAATTGCCTTGTTAACCTCCTCATGCTGGCTTTTGTACTGCGACAGTCTGGATAGAGCATCAGCTAGGAAGTTTGTCCCTCCCGGTATGTACTTTAGAATGAAGTTAAAACGGTTAAAGTACTGTGACCATCGCACTTTTTTCGGGGACAATTTGGGGAGTTTTCAGTGCTTCTAGATTTCTGTGATCAGTCCATACTTCAAAAGGCACTTTGCTCCCTTCTAGGTAGTGCCTCCAGTTTAATAGAGCCCATCAGATTGAGAAAGCCTCCTTTTCCCATATTGCCCACCTCCTCTTGCTCTCAATGAATTTTTTCGTGATGTAGGCGTAGGGTTGTAGGATCCCACTTTGGTTCTTTTGCAGTAGTACAGGTCCGATGGCCACATTGCTGGCGTCAGCTTGAATTACAAAGGGCTTCCCTGTGCAGGGTGCTTTAAGACTGGTTCAATTGCAAATAGTCTTTTTAAGTTCTCAAAAGTGGTTTGACAGCTCATAGTCCATGTTAGTGGTTGACCCGGTCACGGCTTCCCTCCCCCTTTTCCTGTTTTTAGTAATTCTGTAAGGGGTAGAGCAATTTCGGAAAAGAAGGGGATGAATTGATGGTAGAAACTGGCGAATCCTAGGAGCTGCTTGCAAGTCCTTGGGGGCTGCCATTCAATTATGGCTTTCACTTTGGTTGAGTCCATTTCAATGCCCTCGTTGGAAATTCTGTAGTCCAGATAATCTAGTACAGGGGTAGGCAACCCAAAACACTCAAAGAGCCACTTGGACCCGTTTCCCACTGAAAACAAAACACCGGGAGCCACAAAACCCTTTTGATATCTAAAATGAAGATAACACTGCATATATCCTTTTTTACCTTTATTATAGGGGTGTGTATGTGTGTGTGTATGTGTATATACATACATACATACATACATACATACACACACAGGTAAAAAAGGATATATGCAGTGTTATCTTCATTTTAGATGTCAAAAGGGTCTCTCTCTCTCTCTCTGTCTCTCTCTCTATCTGCCCTTGGGTCTGCCAGTCCTCTTCCCCCACTCTCTTTCTTTCTCTCTCTCCCTCCCCCCCTCTCTCTTTCTCTCCCTCCTCTCTCCTATCTGCTGCTCATCTGGCAAGCTGGCTTCAAGTTGTTCTCCAACAAGTTCAGGGGTAGGCAACCTCGGCTTTTTTATGAATCATGCACCTCCTAGAATTCCTGAGTCAGCATAGCTGGGCTATCTACCTCTCTCCTGCCCTTCCTGCTTCCTGCAGAGACACAGCAAAGGGAGGAGCCCTGCCCAATAAGCTTTTCAGCTCCTCGGAGAACACTGTGAATGCATTCTCTTTCTCACACACACACACACACACACACACACACAAACACACACACACACACACACACACAGAGAGAGAGAGAGAGAGAGAGAGAGAGAGAGAGAGAGAGAGAGAGAGAGAGAGAGAGAGAAGCAGGGAAGCACAATTGGATCTTTCTGTCTCTGTCTCTCTCTGCAAATGGCAGAGGAGGCTGGGAGCCGCAGGTTGCTGACCTGTGGTCTAGTGAAACTCACACTTTGATAGTTTGACATAAAGTTTGGCATTCAACAGTTTCTTTAGCACTTCTCTCACTAGTGTTACGTGGTCAGTCATATTCATGTTATATATTAGGATGTCATCAAGATACACCAGAACCTCTTTGTATAAATGGTCATGTAGAATTTGATTAATCAGCTGCATGAAGACAGCTGGGGCCCCCTGTAGTCCAAACAGCATGACTTTAAATTGATAGCTCTCCATGGGACAGTTGTCCACATATTGCTGCATCTCCTACATTTCAAGGAGGAACATAGCGTACATTCTCAGTCGTGGGAGTTTGGCTCCCTGTAACAGTTCGATGGAGCAATCATTGGGTCGGTGGGGAGGCAGGGTGTCGTATTCTTTCTCACTAAATGTCTCCGCTAGGTTCCGGTACTAGCTCGGGATGAGTGGCTCACCTGGTTGTGATGAGGCAGCCATGTGCACTCTCTCAGTGGGTGGGCTAAAGTTTCCTGTAACGTCCGTTGAATTAAGGGGGGCTTGGGCCCTATAGGCAACCTCACAATTCTCATTCCCTTCTCCCACCAGATAAATGGCTTCCATTTGTCCAACCAGGCTAATCCTAGGATCACAGCCTCAGTCATTTTCGGAGCCACCAGGAAACGAATGAACTCCCCAGTGTTCACCTATTTCTAAGTGTAGGGGTTCAATTAATTGCATGACTAAAATTTGTCCCTTTAGGGAGCCATCAGCTTGCTCAAACCTCACAGGTTTGGAGAGCAGCTTTGCTCGTATGCCCATTTTCATGGCAAATGGTAAGCTAATAACGCACCAGAAGCATCTGGAGTCAACTAGCACTTTTAAATCTACCTGTGCCCCCATCTTAGGGATTATGAGTTTGGCAAGTAGTGAGAAAGGTGGGATGTGTCGACTCACCATTTTCTCCTTCGTTGTCGCTGTCATAAGAGGGCAGAATGGCGACGGGTCCAGCTTGGGTCTCGGCACTCTCCTGCTTGGGGGACATGACTTAGGCAACAAGTTCCTGTGTGATCCAGTTGGCTGCTGGGCCGGTTTCTTTCTTGCTGCTGGTCGAGGTCTACTCTACTGCTGAGGGTAGGGGACTGGGCAATTCGCTGCTGAATGTCCCTGTTGTCCGCACTGGAAACACTTGATTGGTGGGCCTGCAGGTGGCCTGGGACTTTCAGTAGCCACAGCAGTTGGAGGTTTTCGGGGGTGGCGGCTGCCATTTGGGTTGCTCTGGCCTCAACTCGGCTTCAGGTGGGATTGGCTTCTTATAGCAGGCAAGCTGAACATTTAGTCTTATTGCTGCCTGGTACCATTCTAGCAGCTGATCAGGTACTGCTCAATAGATACAGGTTTGGGAGAGGTAATCATCTAGCCCCTCTTTGAAATGCTTGAGACGCCTCTCTATCCGACCAGCTATGTTGCAAAACTCTCGTACATATTCCAATGTAGGCCTGCCGGCTTGTTTTATCTTGTGGATTTGTTCTTCCGCTTTGAGAGCAATGGATGGTCCTCGAACCTTGCTCTCAGTCCTAAGAGGAAGAGATGGGAGTCCTCCAGATGCTTGCTCATTATATAAATTGTTCAGCCACTTGGATGCTTCTCCTTCTAAACTGGACACAATCACGTCAACCATAGGGGCTGGGTTTGGATAGAGATAGGCACAGCGGTTCAAGTGAGAGCACACTTGGTTAAGGAAAAAAATCAGCTTCTCTGAGTCCCCATCAAAAGTTGCTCTGAGGGATGGTGCCATCAATGGCTGTTGGCCTCCTCAGTGTGGCTGTTGCACTCCCAGCTATTGCTGCCCCCCCACGGCAGCTGTCACATCCCCAGTTGCTATAAACCTCCCAACGGTTGCTGCATGTTTGGGGGTTGTTGCCAACCCCGTTGGCTGTTGCTCCACTGCCGGCGGCTGTGGAATCCCTAGTTGTCGTAGGTCTCCTAATGGTTGCTACCTGGGCAGGGACTGCTGTGATCCCCACTGCTGCTAGCCTGCGGGGGCTATGGCATCCCCAGTTGCTCTAGGCCCCCCTATGGTCCTGGAGGGGGTTGTTGCTGGATCCCCATTGGTTGCCGACTTCCTGGTGGCTGCATCACCCCAAGTTATTGCACATATGGGGGATGCAACCACCCCCAGCTCGGCTGTTGCACTGGCAGATGCTGCTGGCTCCTGCCTGTGGGGGCTGCAGCATTCCCCATTGCTGTAGGGGCCTCGGCTGGGTGGTCAATAAGCACGTTGATCCGGGGATTGGCTGTCCTGACGATGGCTCGGGCTCTTATCTCGCCGGCAGCAATCTGGGCTTTTGGAGGGGTGATGCAAAAAGGCCTCTCCCATCTGGAACGGCTCTAGGGGGAACGCAAAAAGGCCTCTACTACCCAGAATGGCTGTCAGGGGGGAATGGCCTCTGCCGCCCAGAACGGCTGTGGGAAGAGTGCAGAAAGGCCTCTGCCGCCCGGAACGGATGGGAGGAGCGCAAAAAAGCCTCTGCTGCCCGGAACAGCCGTGGGGGGCTGTGAAAAGGCCTCTGCTGCCTGGAATGGCCGTGGGGGGCACAAAAAGGCCTCTGCTGCCTGGAACAGCCGTGGGGACGCTGCGAAAAGGCCTCTGCTGCCCAGAAAGGCTGTGGGGGGCGCAAAAAGGCCTCTGCTGCCCGGAACGGGCCATTGGGATGCCGCAAAAAGGCCTCTGCCACCCGGAACGGCTGGGGGAGCGTGAAATCACCCTGCGGGCACAGATCTGGGTGGCAGAGCATTCTCCAGGCCTCCGGAGCCCGGATCAGGCCACTGAGATGCCACAAAATTGCTCTGGAGGCATACCTGGACTCGTGCTGACAGCTGCCTCCACCAGTCTTGATCCGCCCAGCTCTTGCAGCTGCTCCCTGACTCCCAGTGCAGAGAAAGAGAGCGAGAACACAGGCGCACGTGGAAAGGTGGAAGGGAGCAGCTTGGCCGCGCCTCCCTTTGGGGCGATGGCACGCATGCCCACAGGGATAGCTCTGCATGCCGCCTGTGGCACACATGCCATAGGTTTGCCACCACTGGCTTATATGTTAGTTCTTAAAATATCTCCATTAAAAATCTATCAACAAAATATTTTTCAATTGCTATACACACTTTGTCAAGAAATTGAAGAAATGAGTATTTGTTCTCCAGATTCCAAAAAATTATTTGCAAAATAACTACTAACTTCATTATGATAATTAAGATTTATCTTAGTCATGACAGACTGACCATACAGTATATGACACCAAATAGCCTGAAAAGAATGCAAAAAATTGCCATAAAACACCTTTGTGCATCTCAGATCAAGAAGCATATTATAGAAGAGAAATGGCAAATAAAGACAAATAGTTGACATACCAGGAACTACTGTAAAATTATCAAGGGGAAGTTGAAATCAAAACGAGAGAACAATTAATAGCAATAGGATATAGTTGTCAATGGTTCGCCCATTTAGTTATCTCAGATATTTAAAAGAAATAAATTTATATATTTATGGTATGAAGCAAAATAAGTCAGAATTTGAAATACAACATGAACATGTATTTACTAACATATGTAAACTTTTGTTGAAATTTGAAACAGAGGAAAAACAGATTAAATAATATATGAAAGTGGGGCAAGAATTTTGGTTGTAATACTAGGCGGATCAATGTGGTTAAAAATGCTGAAATTTATACTGGGTTATGATCTCAAACAAATTTTTTATAAAATTGATGCACTGTTTGCACATGGCAGCAGATAAATTATTTGGAATGTATAAAGCCACTTAATATTGGAAATGTGAATAACAACATGAAGGGATGATTTTTTTTCATGCTGGTGGATATGTATAAAAACTTTAAAAATGGATCCAAATAGTATATTTTAATACAGAAGATTTTAAAGATCAATATTCTAAGGAAGCTAAAACTTCTCTGTTTAGGATTAATTTGATAAACAAGGAAGATATTTCAGTATATGATTGCAACAATGAGACTGCTGCAGGTAGAAATTGAAAAATTCAATACTGCCCACTTTGGAGGAATGCTTGGTGAAGTAGATAAAATTATCTATATTTGCTGCTGACTGGAAGCCTCTTATGGAATTTTTGTGTACAAATGAGAAAAATGAACTTGCCATTTATGATTTTGATGATTAGACAGGATAGATTATAGAAAGAACAATTTGTTGTAAGTCAAAATATTTTATAATTGCTATAAAGAATATAAGGAGCTACTTATTTAAATTTTACTTTAACTTTTTTCCTTCTCTTGCATTTTTCCTTCTTTCCATTATTTTTGCTTTCTTCATTCTTACTTTAGTTTGTGTCAGCATTTTGTTTAAAAATTTAAAGTATAAGGTGTGTGTGTGTGTGTGTGTGTGTGTGTGTGTGTGTGTGAATTTAGTCACCAGGGTCTCATTTAGTCACCAGTATCTCATTTAGTGATAAAAAAAATCTGATTTGCAAGAAACTGAATTTTTTAAAGTGGGAAAATTCTGCCATTTTCATCACTGAACTGATTTAATAGGTTTCTGTATTGATAGCTGACACTTATTTATGGCAAACCAGGACCGCAATCTTGCAAAGAAAACTACAGGAACTTATCCAGGTAATTGTCACTGATTTGAATGTTTAAAAAAACAAAACAAAAACCATAATCCATGCCCACCCAGAACATGGCGAAAGGTAAAATTGTAGGGCGAAGTTAAGGTAACTAATCAATATGATTATTTAAATAAATTCAAATATAAATTAATGTTTTTCTCGACCCTTTCTGTTTTGGGGTGCATCGCTCTAAAAATAAAGGGTGGTCCTTAGTTTGGAAAAAATATTACCTTTTAGGTAATTTACGTGTATCTAATAGCGATAATCCTATTATTATTATTATTATAATATACAAAAATGTGAAATTACAACTGTCAGTTCTTTAGCTCAGAGATCCCCAACTTTTGGGCACCAGGAACCGGTTATGTGGAGAGGTTTTTCTGCAGACCAGAGGGGGCATGGTTTTATGTGCTGCCTGCATCTTGTGAATGGGGCTTTCCTTGTTTGTGCGGACCAGTTGCTGGTATGCCATGGCCCAGTACTGGTCCAGACTGGGGGTTGGGGACCCCTGCTTTAGCTGGTATTGGCTTCATATGAATCAAGCTTTTCCCAAGAAGCTAGGACATCATAATGTACCAGTATAGTATATGTGAGGATCCAAGTAATGTGGACTATTATTATGTAAAATATTTTGATCATGAAACTCTCTGATCTGAATTATTTTCAATGAAACCAAATACCTGTGGTTCAATAATTTGTACATGTCTGGTAAGTTATTACTGCTAGGTTTTTTTTTTTAAAAAAGAACTATCAGTTCATCAAGTAGACTAACTAATACCTTATCCTATACTTTATTTTGCAGGTAGGTAATATTAAAGGTATGCCTCATATGCAAGTCTTGCTGAAGCTGTTAAGGCTGTATAAATATGAAGATTACTACTACTGTGTTGTTTTGGATGGCTTGTTAAGGTCTAGATGTGTTGAACTTAAAAAATACTGAAAAAAATCTAAGTATGTTGTTGAAGAGGATTGATTTGTTGAGCTTTGGCATACTAATCTTGTCTTTGTTTCTCTAATGCTAATGTTACTTGCAAATTCGTAATATCAGTAATCAGCAATCACTCAAATATGTAAACAGAAAATGATCTCCAATGAACAACAGTATTGCTTCTCCTAAACTTACATCTGGCACAGATGGCAAAAATAAAGGCTGCATAGAAATTAAAACTGGAACTTAAATAACCTGGATTTTACTGAATAAATCCTTTACCTTAATTTGATCACCGACAAGATTTGGAGGTTTAATATATATACAATATTACAATATTTTTAGTTTGATGAATCACTATCTTTCTATGTTAAGAGTAGGCAAATAGAAACTTCTATTGGCTTTTGTTTACTTACACCAGATAAAGCTTCCCCCTCCCCCCCAGCACATAAAGTTAAATGCAAGAGAGATGACTATTACCACAACCTGTTAATTTAGAATTCATGAAGCTAATGTCCTACAAGGGGCAGAGATAGCAGAGACAGAAGATCCACTAGAAAGATAAGTATCATTCCTTCTACCTTTACAGTCAGCATTATTCCAGGAAATTAAAAAAAAAATTGCTGACTGGCCTTCACTGAATCATTTAATAACTTAAAGAAGGAAGGGCACTGAGATTATATCTAGAATTTAAATCACCTGGAGAAAAGGTTGGCCATCTACCATAATATTTAAGTATCGGATGAAACTTACCTAATAAACTCTGTTTTCTACCAGGCTGTACGGTTAATATTTCATTAATTGATAAAGTGGTTAAAGACAGCTTGTCTGCTGGAAAGCTGACAGCCTAAGTTTGAGACCAGAGTGCCACGCAATGGATTGAGTTCCTGCTGCTTGCCCCAGCTCCTGCCCACCTAGCAGTTCGAAAGCATGCCAATATTAGTAGATAAATAAATACCACTTCGATTGGAAAGTAACAGCATTCAGTATATAGTCATGCTGGCCACATGATCATAGAAATGTCTTTCAACAACACAGGCTTCTTC